GTACTGTGTACTCGGTCATACACTGAAGGAAAAATATGGACAAAGAGATAAAAGACTTAGAAAACCTGACCTATGGGGCAAGTTTAAAAAACTGTGCCACCTTAGTCTTGAGAAAGGAAGAGGAATCTAGTAACAGTCTTCAAATATGTTATGGCTGTTATAAAAAGAACAGTAATCAACTGTTGTCTGCATCTACTGAATATCACACAAATAATAATTCGCAAAAAGGGAAATTCAGTTTAAAATATTAGGGGAAATGCTGAATAGGGATTGTTAAGTACTAGGCTTTCAAAGCAAGCTGTGCAATTTTCACCAAAAGTTTTTAAGAAAAGGTGAAACTCACACCTGTCAGGAGATGAACTAGATGACTTCCAAAAGTCACTTCCAGACCTTCATTATGACAACACTTATGATCATCAATCAAATCCAGATACTGCATTCATGTTATGCTTTCATGACCACAGCTTCTGCACACTTTTGAGGAAGTCCTCAGAAAATCCCCCAAAAATATGCGGTTGGGCAAGTGAAACAGCATTTCCTTTTCTAAACAGTTAGTCTCCTGCTTATACCTTATGTATAAACACCAGCTGGAATACAAAGCATTGCCAAATATACCCTGAACTATCAGCAAGTGCAGTGCAGTTCAGGTAACAAAGACTATTTCAACTTCAATAAGAAACGCAAAATAAACAATAGAATTGTAAGAATACTCAGATAGGGGGTTGGGAAAAGAGGAAATCTTTTAAGAAACAAATTTGAATTGAAATTCATATAGAAAGACTTCTTAGATTACTAAACTATATAACCAGAAAATCTTACAGCAGGTGTCCATATTAATTTCAATAGCCAACTAGCATTCTCTTCTCTACTTAAATGCTACAAGACAACAGCCGTGTACAAGTGACCCCTCACTGAATAGCAGATGGATGAAGCTTCCTGAAACCTCCCTCCTCTGCAACACATCTACAGAGGGGTAAATTGTGATTTGCATACATACATAGTTCAACACACACACGAAGCTTACATTATTAAATAGCACAGATTCCAAAGGTGTATACTTTTCTATCTATACAAACTTTTAAATGTCTTCCCCTATGTGTATTTGGCTAGTGATAATGCATGGCATTTTTTGAGGACCAGGAACAATGCACATTCTAATTATGGGAGTGAGAAAACTGTGGGTAGTCTAGCATTGGCATGTTGATCGTTTAAATGGGTATTACAGATGACAAGGACCATCAGTCAAGTTTAAAAGCTGAAAAGGAACATTGAGAAGTTTGGCCCGCGCGGGGTAGAATTTCCTAAAGGGTCATGAGCTCAGAAACACAGGAACAAAATGGCACCAGATATAACACTGAATGGAAAAAAGGAAATGTTGTTAGTTGGAGGTAGGGGACAGAAGCACAAAGAGCAGAAGAGTAAAATCAGGTAGACATATAATGTGAGGAGAGAGAGTCAGGAGATGAGGAAAGTCGATTTTTTAAAAAAGGGTATGTAAAAGACAAAAACAGTCAAGTTCTATATAAAGGCCAATTCTATAGACAAAAAAAGATTGTGTAGGGTTGTTTGGTTTTTGGGGGGTTTTTGGTGTGGAGGTTTACTTCTCTGTGATATGTAAAGTAAAACAGAAATGTTTCTTTCACTTCCATAAAAGCAAAAAATTAGGGATTTTTCAGCTTGACTTTTTTTTTTTTTTTTTTTTACAGAGATACAAGTTTCAAAGATCTCAAGTTGCTTATTCTTGTTCCTTGGAGACCCAAAAATTTGGAGTGGGGGTTTCCACATCCCTTTTTAAGGGATGTGGAAATAGTGGTACTGTTGAACCATTCACAAAGCTCTCCTCCCAATGATGTATCAGGTGTTTGCATTAAATAGGTATTTGGAAAAAAGTTTTTAATATTTCTAAAATCCTCTCAATTGTCCAGTTTTACTACCTTAGTACTTGTCATGTCACAATCCAACTGGTTCTTGAATCTCACGCTGAGTCTCCCAGGAAAAATATGATACAAAAATTTCTAAGCAGCCTTCTTTATACCTCACATTAAAACAATGTGGAAATAAAAGGCATACAGGCAGTCCCCGGGTTACGTATAAGATAGGGACTGTAGGTTTGTTCTTAAGTTGAATCTCTATGTAAGTCGGAACTGGCGTCCAGATTCAGCCGCTGCTGAAACTGACCGCCAGTTCTGACTTACATACAGATTCAACTTAAGAACCCCAAGCTTCCCCAAGTCAGCTGCTGCTGAAACTGATGAGCGATTCCAGGAAGCCTGGGGCAGAGCAACTCTGCCTCGGGCTTCCTGTAGTCAGCGCTGGTCAGTTTCAGCAGCGGCTG